GACAATATTCCCAGCCTAACCAGAGGCCCTGCAGGGCACAGCAAGGGATCCCCAAGGGTTACCCCAGCAGCTGCTGACCCACTGATGACCCCTGGATTAGCTGATGTGTATGAGCCCTACAGTGTTGATATGACTACACCCTTGGGAGAAACGACCATCGATACCACAGCGACCCAGACACAGAGCAAACATTGATGCCAGGAGACAAGGCCCAGCAGCCCCCATATTGTGCATAATGCCTGGCATTTCCAAGAGCCCTGAGAGCCTTGAGAGATGAGCTACTACTTTCTGTAGGCACAAGCTCCCAGGCTTTGTCCCCACAACCTGTCTTCTTCCCAAAACACTTACTACCCTTCTGCAGCAAAGCCGTTAAAAGTGCTCATCATATATTAATAAATTCAAGTGGCAGAAATAGTGTAGGTTCCCTTCTTGCTCTCATTCTCTTATTGAAATAACATGTGTTGATTCTGTGACATAGAAATACTATTAATCTCTGCATTTGAAAATCACTGTTTCTTAGCTGTCTTAGGCACCATAGAATTTCTCTTACTAGTGTGATACTGTTATATCTGGAAAATGAGACACTGCTTTGGATATTTTTCTCTAAGCAAAGGCACATATTCTCAGAATTGTAAGCTATTTCATTCAAATGTTATTAAATGGGGATCAGTGGACTCTAGCTGGTATTACTGGGTTTGGTATGATGGATTTTAAGTTCTCATTTGTAGAGTATTTTATTTAGTAAAAACATCTAGCCTATTTTAAATAAAGAATTTTTCTCACTGAAAAAAAAAAAAGAAAAAGAAAATACTGCTCTGTCCAGCCTCTGATAAGTTCCCTTTGTACCCACCACGTACCTTTTTGTTCACACGAATCTAAGCTGGTTGTGGAGCAGACCATTTCAGCCCTGTGCTTCGCCAACTTCATCCCAGATAGGAGCAGATTTGGCTGTCATTAGAGTGACTTGAAAATCCGCCCCTTGGTCTAATTGACCAAGACTTTTTCAGATTTCCCCACCCCTCTGAGAAAAATCCCTCTGTGCATGTCTTCCTTTATTATTCCTTTGAAGCTTTTGTAGGTTCATCGGTATGTGTTTCATCAAAAGACCCATGACAATGAGTGGAGAAAGAAGACATGTATACCTCTCCTTTGATAAAGCCCAATTAACCACACACCATTCAATGGAAACACCTGAGTTTGAGTATCCAGGGTCTGGCTGTATTGTGACACACCTGAAGAGTTTCTCAAATTTCAGATTCCTGGGCTCCATCTCAGACATAGTCAATCTGAACCTCTGATGGTTCAGAAACCATTGCTTTTGGTTGAGGCTGCTATTACCAAGTTTAACATGGTGGAGAGCAAGTTCCCTGCCTATTCAGGCTAGAAGAACGGCAGAAAGTCTACACCAATGGGAAACACTATTCTTATGGCCCTGTCGGCAAAAGTTGGTGCCACCAATCCCGTGTCAATAGTAATCCCCAATCTGGGGTGCAGTGAAAGGAAAAACTTAATTCAGTCAAGTGGCTGCGTTGGGGCTCAGGCGTTATTTTAAGTCATTACATTACTGAAGACATGATAACCAATGTAATGGTGGGCTGTGTGTTGAACTGTGTTCTGGTTCCAAAATCAATACAATAAAACTTATTCTTGGGATAATTGGAGAAATTGGACCATGAGCTGATTATTAGATACAGTGGAATTATTGATACTTCTCTTAGGGATGATAATGATGGGATATGTAGAATGCCCTCACACACAGTGAAATGTCTAAAGTGTCTAAAGATGAAAGTCGCGATGTATACAACTTATTTTCAAATCTCACAGCGCAAGAAATGCGGACGCACACGAAAAAGAGAGAAGGGGAGAGTAAGGAGAGTGGCAGGAAGTAGGGACTTCTGTGAATGGTGTCAATCTCCTTTTTGCAAACCAGTGGGTGCTCCCTTTTTTTCTCCTTGGTCCACGGCGGTGGATCTTTGAGGGTCAGGACGGACTTGCCCACGACACGGAAGCGTGAGGCCGCGGGGGCACCTGGTGCTGTGAGCACAGAGTTGGCACCCGCAGATTGGAGGCAAGCGTCGTGCTTCCTTCGATAGCTCAGTTGGTAGAGCGGAGGACTGTAGTGGTACTTGCCGGTCATCCTTAGGTCGCTGGTTCGAATCCGGCTCGAAGGAACAAACCTTTTGGGTGGCTTTTTATTCCCCGGTCCATCTCAGTTCTGTAAGTGCTGGATGGGCATTTCTCTAAGACTATCCGTATTGTGCAGCGAATGCATGTTTTTGTATCATTATTTTCCGTAACCATGACTAATACGTACAATCATACTTCACCCCCTCGGCTCACACGGAATCGGTGCGCAGAGAAGTACGGAGTCCCTACCAGGCGGACGAGCGGCGGCCCACCGGGCGGGAGGTCCGGAGTCCAGAATCCGCCCGCCTAGGGAACCTGGAGCCGGGTGAGTGAGGCCTGGCCGACCCACCGACCGCGAAGCGCCGGTGGAGCACGTGCGCCCCCCTGCTGGTCTTAGGATCCTGAGCCTCGGGAAGGATTTTCCCAGGTGATTTCCACTGCCCCGCGTGGGGAACGACACTCGGGCACTAAGCCCTCTGCTCCCTTTAATTAAGTAACGGCGGTTCTCAGCCCTGGGTGAGAACGGTTGGTGAGTAACAACATGGGCCTGGGGAGATTTTACAGAGCGCTTCTGCTCGGACCACTTTGCAGGTGGGCCCCCCACGTTAGCAGTTTTAAAAGCTCCCAGGTGATTTTAACGTGCTGCAAGGTTTGAGAACTGCTACAAGAGTAAAACAGTCATTTTAGAAGAAAAAAAATAGAAAAATGAGTATGATTTTCTACCCGCTTTGAGGATTACAAGGGAGAGATCTCTTAATAGAAAGCCTTTAATAAGTCTGTGCGAATCCCATTTCTACCCTGTCTCAAAAATGCGATCCCAAATACCTATTGAAGAGTCCTCACCTACGAAGATACAGATCAAGGTAAGGAAGAGTTGCTGAGGATTTTGTGCCTGGAAATGTCCTCTATCTTTCTTCTCAACTTCTTATTCAAGCCTGCAAACGTGAGAGAAATCGCAAAAAGTTGACTCTTGCTTATCCTGTCCTTAAGATGAGGTAGCCACCAGTACGTGGCTCCTGACGCGATGTCTATCCCTGTCATGAAATGTGCAATGAAAAGTCCGAATCCTTGACCCGGTCCGGGGATCTGTTAGCCGAGAAAGTTTTAGCAAAGTTATTTATAAAATTGGAGAATGCGGGCATCGATCCCGCTACCTCTCGCATGCTAAGCGAGCGCTCTACCATTTGAGCTAATTCCCCGCCCCACGCGCTACAGTTCTTCTTTACTCGCCTTAATATTAAGAAAGAGTTTAGCCTTCTCGGATGCAATTTACAACTGGTTTATTAACCAGTAAGACCATGAGCGGAACTGCGAATCGATGGTGCTCAAACAGCCCCAGCACAAATTCAGGCTTCCAGCGCCACCTGTAACCTGCGCCACCGAGCTGGATCCTGCGTGGAGGTAATTCGCAGAGCGCAGCTGGACCGAGCCTGGAATCATCAGAAACACCTACGTAGAAAATGGACACCAGTTTATTTAAAACTGGAATCCACCTGCAGTATCAAGGAACAGAAAGGGAAGTGCAGATACATCCAGGAGGGAAAATCAAGTTTCTCAAGTCATATGAAGGTTCCCATCCAACATCTACACCTTCAGCCACTGATTTATCTGATATTGGAGGTTTAATGTTATTTTCTAATCTTACTGAAATTGGGGCAAGAGGATCAAAACTGAAATGCAGAAGATGGAACATCTTATTTGAGAAAGTGACTGTCCCTAGACTCTGCAGGGCATGCAGGGCGGACCTTGCCAGCTCTTTACAATATCCTTAGTGCTTGCTCTCTCTCCTTTTTTCACTGCAGTCGGGGCTGACATAAAGTACATAACTTGCTGTGGGAAGAAACCCTCCCCTCACACCCCCGTTTTAGATGAGAGAGTTCAGAAATCAGGTGTTCTCCGCGCACCTCAAGGTCAGCCTTGCCTTGATTCTCACCACCACCTGGGGGCTCTCTCCATACTCTTTCCTGGACAGACTTTGCCCAGCCTCAGAACTCAGTCTGGCCTCCGCTCGTTTATTTATGTTCCGTGGCTCTATCGGAGCGCAGGTGCAGAAGCGGAGTGAAAGAAAGTAGCCCGCCCATCCCGTCGCTCAGATCCACAGAGCTTTATCACGGCTGACTGTGAGCCGTATGAGATCTTCACTCCCCAATCCCGGAGAACATAGGGGGCATTGACATTTTATAAGGGCAGACTTGGCAAACTTCCATCGGGGAACTCGGCCTCTGAGTACGAGTAACCAAATCAGTGCTGAGAGGCAGTGCCAACGGGGAGCCCATTAAGGGAGCCAGGGAGGATGGCGTCGGGCAATACCGGTTACGGGGAAGGCACACGGAAACGGTCCAGGAGCGCCATCGTGTGGGCATCGTGCGCCCTGCACACAGCGCCTCAGAGCACAGTGAGGCGGGTAAGCCCGACGGCTCCTAAAGAGTGACAGTGAACTATAGAGAACCGAACAGGTGCCGCCTCCTATTCTTGCAGCCGTACCTAACACTGCCACCACAAACGACACCTCAGCCACTCCGGAAATGCCGGAAAAGCCTGCGGCATCCCGCCATTTTGCGCCTCCCGAGGCAAGGAGTCCTGCAGGGTGTGTTACACTAGAGAGTCGGCCTCTTCGGTGCGCCTCTTCGGGTCCGCATTTTCCGGGCAGCCTCTCCAGCCCGGAAGTCAGGCAACTTGAGCCTGGCTTTCCTGAGCCCCAGACCGGCTCTCCCGGTTTGAATCTCCCGCTGACTTGGGTCCTGCTTCCCCCCTCAGCACTAGGCCTGTACCGCCCGTGCCGCCCAGCGTCGTCCTTTCATTGGTCAAAACCCGCATTGACCCCGCCCCCTCGCCGCAGGCTGTCGCACACAGCGCGCGTCAGACGGCGCGGCGCTTTACGGCTCTAGAGCTTCACGTCTCGGCAAACATGGAGGCAGAGAAGTCGGAGAAGGAACCGGTAGAGCGGGAGACTCTGGAAGGCGGAGATCGGGAACCAGAGGCGGCAGAGGAGCAGGAGGAATCCCGAGAGGCGGCTGGCGGCGCCAAGAAGCGGGTGGTGCCGGGCATTGTGTACCTGGGCCACATCCCGCCCCGCTTTCGGCCTCTGCACGTGCGGAACCTATTCAGCGCCTACGGCGAGGTGGGGCGCGTCTTCTTCCAGCCCGAGGGTAAGTGCGCGGGTCCGAGGCGCTGGGGGTCAGTCCGTAGTGTGTGCAGGCCCCGGAGGGCCGGGCGGTAGCCCTTTAAGCCAGTCCTCGGAGAGCTGATTTGGATTTTAATTTCACCTCCGTCCTCGCATCTTTTCTGGCCTGAATTTACCGCTTGGTTAAATGAGTATAGCCGCCTGAATAAAGTTTCAGTGACTTCACAAAACTGAAGCCATCCCTTTGTCATTGCGGCCCAGGTGGGGAGATAGTATTGATCAGTCGCCCCCAACTCCCCAGGAGGCACTAATTGGAATTGGAGTTGGAGGCCTGTGCAGCTTTAAAATAGAGCATTCAGGGTAGACCTGATTAAGGAGTGTTAACCCCAAAGTTAAAAGCCTTTCAAAGTGAGAGGTAACAGGCGCTTATCAGTAAGAACAGCTATTCGGAGAAGCACTGATTCAGGCAGAAGCCCAACGAGTATTCTGATTAGAAGACAAAGCCAAAGGGTATTTATGAGAAAGGAAAGGAGAACAATGGCATCAGTAGGAGGGGGATGTTGCTTTCGGTGCAGGTAGCATGACGTCGTGATGCTAATTCGTGACGCTAATTCTAACCAAAGTTTTTAAATTTCAGTCTGGTAACCCTCAATCCAGTAGTCATGATTCTTGTTATCCTTGCGAGCAGTTCTTTGGGGCACAAAGTTGTTGTAGGCCCAGTCCATAGGTTATTTTGCCCTGTTCAAACATCCAGAGGTTTGAGGCATAAACATGCAAAGCAGTTCCTTTGGGATAGCAGCCCGACTCCAGTGTAAAGGGGCCCCTTTATATTTTGACAGGCGTTGACACTGAGAAAGGATTGAGTTAGACATGGGGCGGGAAGGACTTAGCAGTTCTCAACTCCCTTCCCGGCAAAGACCTTGAGGTGGGACCTTGGCACGGGAGCAGACGTTGAGAAGGCGGCATGTGGGCGATGCCGTAAGCGGGTGCTGCGTCCGTCTCCATGACCACCACCCTCTGTCTTCGGCCCACAGAGGGGTTCGTGCGGCGGAAGAAGAAGGCAGCGGCATCCTCGGCCGCCGGAGGGAAAAAGCGATCCAAGTACAGCAAGGACTACACCGAGGGCTGGGTGGAGTTCCGGGACAAGCGCATAGCCAAGCGTGTGGCCGCCAGCCTGCACAACACGCCCATGGGTGCCCGCAGGCGCAGCCCTTTCCGTTATGACCTGTGGAACCTCAAGGTAAGGGGAGAGGCTTGTCTCCTGCGTTCTCCATCTTCCTACCGTCCCAAACCCAGAGGAGGCACCCCTGTGACCTCTTGTTAGACCTGCCCCTTCGCATTTTATTTCCATCCCTGACCTACGCACATCGTTTCTTGTTTTCCTGTCCACAGTACCTGCACCGTTTCACCTGGTCCCACCTCAGCGAGCATCTTGCCTTTGAGCGCCAGGTGCGCAGGCAGCGCCTGAGAGCAGAGGTCGCCCAGGCCAAGCGTGAGACTGACTTCTATCTTCGAAGTGTGGAGCGGGGGAAGCGCTTCCTTGCGGCTGATGGGGACTCCGCCCGCCCGGATAGCTCCTGGGCCTTTGCCCAGCGTCCTACTGAGCAGGAGCTGAGGGCCCGGAAGGCAGCTCGGCCAGGGGGTCGTGAACGGGCTCGACTAGCTAATGCTCAGGACCAGGCCCGCTCTAACCGAGGGCTCCTGGCCAGGATCTTTGGAGCCCCACCGCCCTCAGAGAGCATGGGGGGACCCTCGGTGGTCAGGGACTCTTGAGGGGCAGGGAGACCCCTTCATCCCCTACCTAACCCAGCCCAGAGCTCTGTCTACCTGATAATGGCTTGTGGTCTCTCAGACCAGGAGTCTCTGGTGAGTATCCAGGCATGGTTTTGTGGGCCTTGCCCTCCAGCTCCATCCATGCCAGGCTGAAGCACCTAATTCATACACGTAGCGTGATTATGACTCCTGCAGGTGCTTGTTTTGTCTCATTTGATTCTTGGCTGCCTGCTTCTGCCCATTGCTGCGCTCTGCAAACCCCACTTCCTGAGCCCAGGAGAAGCCTTACACCCAGGAGGCCACGGGTACGGGCAGCAGCGACGGCCTTTCGTTTAGGAAAGATTCACGGGGATGGGGCTTAATGGGGTGGGACTGGCTGGGGAACCATCTTCCAAATGTATTTATAGAAAAGTGTGTGTTTGATACAGCGTTGGACTCGGGGGACAGTCATTAGATAACTTAAAACTTCCATCTCCTGTGTCCCATGGACTCAACTGCACTCCATCTGCTCTGGTCTCAGAATTCATTGAACCTGGACCCCTTTCTATCTGCCTTATTAATTTTTTAGCCCATTTTGTCAGTTACCTCACTATTTGCTGAGGCACTGGATGAGCATGTGAGCAACAGCACGTAACACATGGTCCTTGGCATTGAGAGGCGTCTGGACCGCTAGGAAAGGGGTGATGTTTCAGGGATAAATGTGCAGAGGTGCCTCTGGCCTTGTGGTGGACGTGTGGTGTGTAAGGGGTGGAGTGGGGTTGTGGGAGGGTTGGTGACACCAAATGGAATGTGAAAAAAGCATTTTTTTACCAAGTTTTCCAAGTCCTTCCTGAAAGGTGAACAGAAGTCTGAAGAGCCTGGTGAACTACAGTTGGAAACAAAGTTCCTTGGATGGAGTGTTGGATTGGAACCATTTCAAAGGTGTGGGCACTGTGATTCCTTCAGGTGCACCTCTGTGTTAGGGCTAAGACAGGAGGGCCACAGACAACACGCAGATCAGCCCAGAGACAGTCGGTGTAAACCGCTGACGTCTAAAAGGGTGTCACCGTAGCGAAGAAGTCAGCACGCCGCCTCATAGAGACTGGACTCTGGTCAGAATCCAGATACCATAACTGGACAAATGTGGTAAAAGATCGAAGTTTAACTAAATTTAATAGTAATGAAAAAAAACCTTTAGTAATCCAGTAATAAAAATGTTTCTTTGACCAAATGAGGGGCATCCAGATCATGTTACAAATCTCAAAATTAATTGTGAAGCTTTAAAATATTCTAATTAAAATCAAGAATGAAGGGAGATTATTACAACTATTCATACACTTTTCAAGAAATCCTGGTGATTCAGAGATGAAAATGAAAACAAAAGAAAAAAAAAGAAATTGATATTATTTGCAGCTAATATTTCAACATGTCTCCAGAAGATTGGTTTTGTTGCTTATTTGCACGTTAACTACATAAAAAAAGTAGCATCCTGGTGCACCAGGTAAGATGCCACCTACACGAAAGACTACATTCAAATAGGAACCTGTGGGCAACGAGCATAGCAGATGCTCCCAACAGCTGTACAGGACTGGGCGAGCATTCACTGCCGTTGTATGGACATCAACCCGAATTTGCACCAGTAAGGGCATGGGTAAGTCGATGCTATGTAGTAGAGTGCTGTACAAGTGTTTAAAAGTTTACTTGAACAACAGGTTCATTTTTTAAAAAGATGCAAGTTTAAGAAGTCTGTGAACAGTGTAGTATCTGACATACTGAGCGTAAGTATCTTCGTAGGATTCCTGTACCTACATACTCAGTGAAATATGCCATTTCTGGGACTGGTAACCAGGGTGGCAGAAAGCCGAGGTGAGCGGGGCGTCTGGAGAGTCCCATGGAGGGCGTCCCATGGAGGGCATCAGCTCTGGCTGGAATTTATTTTCATTAAAAACAGGTGGCAGGGGACAGAATGTTACGGTACAATCTTTAACTTGAATACTCACATACGTCATTTTGTGCTATTTGTCAATTACAGTATTTTACAATAATTTTTAAATGAGCTATTGCCAGGAATAAAATATTTTTATTTACTGTTTATCCAGTGCCTAAATGAAACTTCATTAGATGATTCAGTTGGTTACTTGGTCTGTAAAACCGGGGAAGATCCTAGTCTGACTCAGTGAACACAGTGGAATCTAATGTAAAGTCACTTGATAGAATAAATTTTCTTGTCGAACTATAAGGCTGATTACCAGATTCTGTTTTCTGTGTAAAATAACCTGGGTTTATCAGAAGTGTTTTAATTCCAGATGCACACGAATACGTTGGGATTTTAATGCTGCAGTTAGAGCAAGCGCCTGGGAGGCAGTGCTTCTGTCGGAGCAGGTCTAGCTCTGCTCATCAGCACGGGCTGGTTATGTGTTAACTGTTGTGCACGTCACTGATGGATGTCTACTTACTCCTCCAAGACATTCCTGTTAGATATCACCAAGGTAACCAAACAGCTTTGTCCTTTTTGAGTTTGCCAATCATGGTATTTTCCACCTTTCACTGGTTTTACTTTGCCCTTAGGCCCCAAAGAACCACATAAAGTTTTATGCTTTTTCAATCACAGTCATTTAACTGGTTTCCCTGGGCCTTCCACTCTGCTGTGCTCATTACAAGTGGCTGCTTCCCACAGGATACCTCGTTTACTGAGCCTCTGCACATTTTCAAAGTGCCACCGAGCTCGGTGCAGAGCTGCGAGTTTCTAGCGACCGCCTAGGACGGTGGTCACTCCAAGCCGTGTTAGGGAACATCGGAATCAAAGAACTCAGAATAAATTTTAGATTATAACTTCCAGACATGTTGCAATCTAAAAGACATTCTAGGAATCGCATTATGAAAGATACCAGACATAACTGCACAACCTCCTTCAATGAACTGATGAAACAAGTTCAAACATAAACCTGTCATAAATTTAGTAGACCTGAAAAAAAGTGACATCCGCACACACACAAAAAATCATTGTTATTAGAGTGTGTTTGGGTCCTCTCCAATCAAACATCTGATGTGTTATAAGATTGCTAAAGTTTTCAAGCTTGCTTTGAGGAATCTGCACAGTAACCAAAAATCATCTGGACCTCAACGGCTACACATGGTTAGTGGGGGTGGGGTGCAGAGTCCTTTGCAGCTTTACTGTTATAGTAACACAGCGGAACTTACTCTAAATTAGAGGTTAGCTGATGGATTCTGAGAATCCTGCACAGTTTTGAACCTCAGTGGGAATATTTATCCTGCTACTCAAGATCACAAAAGACACAACAGGGCCTACCACCAGCTCCCCTGCCTCAGACCAGAGGCCTGAAAGAAATGTTTGGGCAGGGGTGGGGGGCCAGGTTATATATGTTCACTGGTTATATTGGAAAGGCTCTTTAACCCTTTCCCCACTCACGCCTGAAGGTCTCTACCCTCTCACCATGGGCACGTTCTCGTTTCCATACCGAGGCATTGGTGCCAGCACTCCTGCCAGGGAGTGGAGCAGAGAAAATCACAGTTGAGCAAAATTACGCTGCTCTGTGGGTCAATATTGTCCCAAGTGCCTTTCTCTTGGAAACCTGGATGTATTTAATGTCTGTGAGTAACAAGAGCACCGGACTCCATGTGGGTCACTGATGGAGCGCTAGTCGTTACTGACTTCGCGCCCGTACGGTCAGACGAAGCTACGACTCCTCCCTGTGCTAGTCTGCTGTGCCGGGGGCGGGGGGGGGGGCTCCGAAAGGACCTGCTGTCCAGAGAAGAGCACAGACCACGCTCCTGGGTTTCATTCTCTCCCTGCCGGAAACTCCTAGGATTCTAGAGATGGTCCAGTGCCTGTCACCTCACCAGAACTGAGGAGTGAATATCCACTTTATTCTTTTTTTTCTTCAGCTTTATTCAGGTATAACTGAAAAATAAAATTGTAAGATCTTTAAAGTGTATATTATGATGAATTGATGATATACACGTACATTGTCAAAGGATTCCTGAGTATCTCCTTTATTCTAAGGCAAGTGTACGAGGGAATGTTTTTTTTCTTAGTACAGTAGAGACAAAATGTTTTTCAGAACAAATGTTTATTTAAGAATTAAGGGAAAACAAAAACATTAAAGCATAGGAATACATTGAATACAAGTGTCTCGTTTGGTCTGAAATCTTGAAAGTTACTCTAACTACTTACCTGAGGTAGATCTAGGTTGGCACTGTTTCAAGAGAACCTCCATCCACCCTAGAAGTTACCTTCCAGTTTTGGTTACAGGCTCCCAAGTGGTCCTCCCCAACCTCAGGTTATGCTCTATGAGTAATACCAACACCTTTTCCCCCACGGTTAAAAGACCTTGGACCTGTTTCATACCCACAAAGTTCTGCTTGAGGGATGGTCCATCCTTAATTTACTTAAAGACTAGATACAGTTAGTTACCACGTGAGATCAGCCAGAAGAAGGGTCAGGTCATTACCCTGCCAACGACGCCAACGCTGTCCCCTTCTGCAGGCCCTCTCTACTGACTAGCAAGTAGCCACAGGACTAATTTCAGCGCTGCCATGCCATACACCCATACTATTTTAGTGTTACAATTATCAAACATATACTAGCGATAGGCATGATTTTCACCAAAGAAAAACAACTACATCTTGTGTGTTTTACCACACTGGGCAACTTCTCATGGTTTGAGAGCTATTTATGAAAATTATCAATAGTAAAACATATCAGAGTGAATAACCTTCCAGGATCTGTTTGCTAAAAGAAAAAACACCTAGAACCAGATTCCTGACTGTCACTACAAGCCATCCCCTGACCCCAAGATTATCAAGATCATCAGCCAGCCCTTAGGGTCAGAGACCGGAGCCACACACAAAGCGGCCACTGGCTACCTCCATGAGTCCGAAGGCCGACACTCCTGGAGTTCAAGGGCTTGCTGAACTCAACTAGACTAATCAGACTCAGGCTAGCAACAAAATATTTATTCACCAGGTTAGAGTCCCTAATATTGCAGGAATCTTAAATATTTTTATTACACATCTTTTGAGGGGAAAAAACCCTCACAATTGTTCATTTATAGATCCCTGAATTACAGTACGAGAATGTTAAATATAATAACTTTTTGTTAAACTGGAGATAAGTGCTTATCCTTAAACCTCTGATAAATTTGGCAACTACTTTTCCCTTCTATTATTTAGAATCCTATATTCCAAGCCAAATAAATACCTTATATTGTAGTGATTGCAATCCTTTCCCTGGGAATAAAAAGTAGTCTCTCTTTTCTTGGCAGAACTGAAATAAATGAAAGGCGTATCATTATGGGACTGAATTAAACAGCAGGACAATGGACAGAAAAGACCACGAGCTTTGGAGGCAGGATACTCAAAAGCAGAAGCATGGCTCCTCCCATTACCAAAGCGTCACCATGTGTCACCTGCCTGCACAGGCCTAATGTCCTTCCAGTCCCCCTTCATCATTCTGCACAGAGCTGCTAAGGAGATGTTATCACTGGAAGGCACGGCACGTGATGTCACAAAAACGTGGATACTAGCTACATCGTAACTCTTATCCTCTACCTGGCATTTCTGAGTTGAAAAGAGATGAGCAGAAATGTCAAATACCAGTGATACCGAGACTATTTCTGGGTAAGGAAACCTTTGACGGCACGCCTCCACTCACAGAAGTAAAAAGCTCAGTGCCCTGCGCCTTTATGAGGTTGGCCCCGCAAAGGGAACCCTTCTGGGAGTTCTGACCCAGGGTAACTGCTCCCTGGCTGATGAGTTGTTTCCGCCACCAGCAAGCTTCCCAAATGACTATCAAAACACCAGTCCCCAATCTGGCCAACAATTTTTAAAAGCATAAAAACCACCACGAGGCAAAGCCAGTCCTCTCCTGTCCCCCACAGTAACACAGGCCACACCGTCTGTCACAGGGCGCAGTCCTTTCCTTTATTGGGTTTCCACATTTTAAAACGAGAAAGTAAAGCGATCATTAAGTGGTTCAGATAAAAGAAAAGGATCTCTACCTGAGTTTCCCATCAGGCCTGCTCTGACCTGCCCGAGCTCCTCCCACAACAAGCCTCTGGGCACCTAAGAACCATTCACGTATCGACTCTGAAAGTCACCTCTACCACACGGATCGGCTAACGGGAGCATGGTTAGTCTCATACCTACAGTACGTACGCCATCCCCAGTTAGATCTCGCGCTAGAGCAAAATTCTCTGCAGAGTAGGTTCTTTGGGGCCCACAGGTGGAGGTTTCTAGCAAGGCTTTTTTAACACTCAAGATATTTAGGGGTTTTTCACGTGCGTGAGTTCCCTGGTGTGCCAACCAAAGGAGCTGATCGCTGACAGCTTTTCTCCCTCAGACTTTGTAAGGTCTCTTCTCAGATTGGTTTTGTTGTTGTTGCTGCAAACCCGAGAAGGCTCTCCATCAAATGCTTTTGCCACACTCAAGACAAATACCTAAATTTTCACCGATATGGCTTCTTTGATGGTTAAGAAAGTCATAATTCTGTTGCAAGTTTTTATCACACTTGCTGGGGGTTCTCCCGAGCATGGGCTCCCTGACGTCAATGAGCTGGGCGCACCGTCAGACATGCTGCGCACACCACGGGCGTTGTCCTCTGGTGTGAACTCCCTTGGAGGGAGAGGAGTGAGCGTCGCTAGGGAGCTCTGTCATTCTTGGCATCTGCAAGGTTTCCCACTGGTACGAGTCCTCCTGTGAGTGATCAGATAGGAGCTCAGACGAAAGGTTTTCCAAACCTCAGGGCCCTTCAAGGTTTCCCGTTGGAGTGACTGATAGGATTCTGTTAGGGCAGCTCTCTGGGCAAACCACTTCCCAACTTCCTACAACTGCAGATTCTCTGGTCCCTACCCAAGTCTGAGCTCTTAGAAAAGTCTAAGATTTGCCTAGAGTTATTCATTTTAATGAGTTCTCTGACTCGTAAGTATTTTTTTTATGGTGTTACAGCTTCTTGTCTGGCCAAGACGTCTGTGAGGCTTCTGAGGTGTGGGGGGCGCTGAGCCCAAGCCCCTTCTCGCCCACGCTGCAGAGGCAGGGTTTCTCGCTGGCGTGGACCGTCTGGTGCTGAAGGAGGGCCGAGCTCTGGCGGAAGCCTTTGTCACACACACTGTACTGATAGTGCAGCTCCTCTGTCTGAGTTCTCATTTTCGGTTGGGCAACAAAGCCCATGCCGAGGAGGAAGCCACTCTCGCATGCGGACCACTGATGTGGCTTCTCTTCCATGTGAATTCTCTGATGCACAATAAGGTCCGAGCCACAGCTGAAACTTTTCTCATATTCAAGGCATTTAAAAGTGTGCGTGTGAGTTGCCTGGTGCCTGATTAGGTTGGCGCTGCGAGTGAAACTTCTCATACATTCCAAGCATTTATAGGGCTTCTCCCCTGTGTGGACCCTCTGGTGGACAATAAGGTCTGATTTCTGGCCAAAGCACTTCTCACAGGCACCACACTTATAGGGCTTCTCCCCAGTATGAACTCTTTTATGAACAATGAAGGCTGAACGGTGTCGGTAACTTTTCTCACACTTATTGCATTTGTAGGGCCTTTCGCCAGTGTGAGTTCTCTGGTGGCTAATGAGATCCGATTTCCCACTAAAAGCTTTTTCACACTCTAGACACTTAAACGGTTTCTCGCCGGTGTGAGTTCTTCGGTGCCGAATGAGATTTGTACTTCGACTGAAGCACTTATCACACTCGCTGCACAGATACGGTTTCTCACCTGTGTGGCTTCGCTGGTGGACAAGCAGATCCGAGCTCTGTCCGAAATTCTTGCCACAAATGTCACATGTGTAGAATTTTTTACCTGCATGCGTTCTCTGGTGTCCTGAAAGGGCTAAGTGGTGCCAGAAGCTCTTTTCACATTTGCTACATTTATAAGGTTTCTCATAATTGTGGATCCTCTGGTGTGAAATAAGATCTGAGCGTTGGATGAAGGTTTTCTCACACATATCACATCGATAAGGTTTCTCCCCAGTATGGGTTCTCTCACACATAATAAGAGCTAAGTTTTCGCAGAAGTTTTGCTCACGTTCAAGGCACTGGTATATTGGATCATCTACTTGAGTAATCTCATGCACATGAATAAAAATCTTTTGACCCTTCTGAGGGCGCACATGGTATGTTGTCCTTCTTTGAGTTCTCTGATTAGGTCTCTCTTCTGAAGTGTACATCTCTATGGCTCTCTCCTAGGGCATTTTCCACTGGTCGTCTTGACCCATCATCTTCTTCATTGTCATTTTCCTGGTAAGAACTTGAAAGATACACCTGTGTTAGGCCTTTGAGTCATGAGCTGTTCGTCTCTACAGGTTTCCAGCATCATATACACTAATTCCTTACTTGGTATTTCCAACACTGTGAGACAAAGAAGAAGTATTATTTATAATCCTATAACTAAGAAAAGAGTGCTCAGAATTAAAATCACTGTAGAAAAGATAAAAAATCTGCATCGGTCTGTAAGTGCCCTAGGTTTTGCAGGGGCTGAGACCAGTTACTTTCCCTTTGCCAATATAAAACCAATCAGCAATACATGTGCAAAGTACTAGGGATAATTATTTCTTTCATGACCCGGGAGATCTCAGACCCAGGGTCCTCCCCTTCCCTCCTCACACCGGCTGAGGGGTGCCTGCCTGGCTTTGCCTGCCCCCTTGGCTGCTTCGTTTTGCTCCACAGCCCTTATGGTCCAATACAGTGTACACGAACTCACTGTTTTGCTGTCTATGCCTAGAATATTCACAGAGGCTATTTTGATTGCTGCTTTTCCCTTAGTATACAGAGCAGGCATACAGTTGGTGCGTAATAAGCACCTTACTGCAGTTCTACTTGGATCCGTAGCTGGTAAAGGACAGGGCTGAGTGCCGCAGGGTGGGAGCTGGTCTGATGAGATGTGGTCTGGAAGAAAGCTGCGTTTCAGAAGACTGAGGAAACTGGAGCTCACCTGGAATGTCAATGGGGGAAAAGGAGCGTTCACTTCCTGGTCCCGAGACTTTGATTTCTCAAGGAAGGTTGCTTCCTGCACAACAGAAGGACAAGAAAAAGATAGACAGTCATCAATGAAAGGACTTAGCACTAGGTCACTTTGCTCAAAGAACCTGAAAACGGGTACAGTTTCCTTCAGAAGAGCTGATGGGTTTTCCTACACAATCCCTTACGCTCAATTCTGAGGGGAATACTCACAGTGCTGTCATCCCACAGGACTCTTTGAAGAAAAAGGACAACAGAGAGTCTCCACACCATCTTGGGCCTGTAGCAGCAATGCAGGAAAGGGCCTCTACCTACCCTCACTGACCCCCCGAGGCACCGCCTTCTCCAGGAGCGCAAGCTGCCCTGGTCTGAAGCCCACCGGGTTCCCCCCCGCCCCCCCGCCCCCGAGTCCCTGGGGACAGGCGACACCACCCCCACCTTCTCTGCCGGGCATGCCATCGCCACCACTGGTTATTCACAATCTACAGCAGATGGAGTGGGTCTCTATTTCAGCCACAATTCAGGATGCAGTCGATCGAGGGTACAAGGAGCCTGACACCCAGATGTGCCCCTGATTTCTTCCCTCAGCAGCTCTCGCCCGCCTGTTCCAGGTCACCAGACTTTCAGGTCCCTCCACAGGCTTCCTGCCACTGAGGACCAGGAGGGGACACAGAACCGCTCAGACGCACACTTAGCCCACGGCTGCCAGAACTCACACGACACGTTCATGGTTCTGGTTCCAGGGAAGACGGAATGCACGCGTGCCAGCCGGCTCTCGGCTGAACACAGCGCTGAACCCTGACCGGACGGCACAGGCAGTGCCGGCCTGAGAGGCGGCGCGCATACCCTGGGTGCACGAACCGACCTGGCAGCCCTTTCTGTCCCTTCGGCGTCCCTTGGCCTGACCTCAGTACAGGCTGAATCGCAGAGGCCAGAGAAACTGTACACCGCAATTCACCTGGCAGTTTTTAGAACTTCCACGCCAAGGACTTAAAACTGACTTCAGTCGGTGGACAGGAAACCGAGCTCGGCTACTGGTGGCAGAACCAGCCTGAAGCTCGCTGTCAAAAAGGGGAAACCCGCTCTGAGTACAAAAAACACGTGAAAAGAGTTCTGATCAGAGTGCACGTGGAAGAGACTTGGGAGCGCGTGGGACTGGAAGGGGCGGCCCTGGCAGGGCAGCTGCCAGGAAAGGCGCGAGTGGGAGGGGAGGGGGGACCCTGTGACCGCCCAGCCCACGAGAAAGGGAACAAGGGACATTTGAGGTCCTCCAAGATGAAGGAAATGTTTTAAATGCACAGTCTGTCTCTCCAGTATCTTCTAAAAATGCCATCCAGTTTTAAAACAGAAGCAAAACTTTACCACAGGGCAAAGTGGTAACGTGCTGCTGAAGGAGCAATCTTGTAGAATATTTTATGTTCTAACAAAATCAAAATAATTCAACCAAAAACTGGGAGAAGAGGAAGAAAACAAAGTCAAATAACCTCACTGCTTACTGCATTAATGGGGAAATCAGATAATTAAAGGTTAAATAAGAAAATGGGGCTAAAGGCATTTAAAAAGGTCTATTGCTGGTGGGTGGGGAGGGGTGGAAGAAGGCATAAAGGGAATAAATGGTAATGGCAAAAATACAATAAAAAGTTACATACAAAAAACTTTTTAAAAAAGATCTAAGTACAAAGGTAGCTGTAATAACAAAAATCGAACATTCTAAAAAATGTTCAAACACTGGACAAATATTACATAAACTATATGGCAGTGATGAGACCAAACACATCAACCACATCAATAAATGTGAATGAGTTTAACTCACCTATTAAAAGTGATTTTTAACATGGCTCACAAAGCAAGACCAAATGCGCTAAATTCAAGACACCTAAGACAAAATGACCCAGAAAGGCTAAAGATAAAAGGATGGAAAGGAACACCAGGCAAACGGAAACAGTAAAAGGAGGGCTTCTGTTCATGATATCGAGCAAAGTGGAATGCAAGCCAAAATGCATTAAACATGACAAAGGACACTTTTTAAATTGTGAAAGCCATCATCACAATAAAGCTTTTCATTATCTATGTACCAAATTACACAGCAGTCAACTCCTTAAAGCAAAAATTGAAAGATACCAAGAAACAGAAATAAAAACATTAATAAGAAAAAATATGACTCTCAGTAAAAAGACATACAAAGTGAACCAAAAATAAGTAATGACACAGAAAGCCTAAATAATGTGATCAGCGAGTAAATCTTACGGGCATCTGTTGAAACTTACCCCCTTATACTAAGGAATAAACTTTCTTCTCAAGCACACATGAATGAGTCATATATTACTAGGTTATTAAGGAAGTATCAGTAAGTTCCATAAAGGGACATAAACAACACTCTGTAGTAAAACTAGAAATGTAGTAGAATAGCAAATAACAAACCACTCTCCCTCCAGGAGGAAAAATAGACTATTAAAACAACTCTTCAGTGAATGAGAAAATGGAAAATTAAATGAATTTCTAAATGCTGATAATTGACTATATATTATAATCTATAAAATAAATTTAAAGCAGTGATCAAAGGAATAGTTATAGTCTTAAATAATTTTCATAAATAAAAATAAAATAATTAAACTAAATTCTCAGATCAAAAATCTAAGAAAAAAGTAAATCAAAACAAATACAAAAATAAAGATATCAGTGAACTAAATAGAAAAATAATGAACCTAATTATGTATCAAAATCCTACTTATTGTGATAAATAAAGTACTAGATAACATGATAAAGGGGAGAAAAAGGAGAAATCACACATTTACAAAATAAGAAAGGATAAGGAATAGCCACCAAAACAGAGAAGGAACAAACAAACCCATATACACATGAGACGACTTTGTAGATTTCTACACAAATAAATGTGATAACCTGTGAAATAAGACTGTTTCCTTAGGAAACACAATTTACCCAAATCAACTCCATTAGAACCAGAAAGTTTTAAAACACCAATATGCACAGAATCAATAGATAAAGTTGTTAGGGAACTATCCCACAAAAAACACTAGACTTAGATTGTTTCATAAGAGAATTCTAACAAACTTACAAAGATGCTTCATAACTGTTTTCTAGAGCACTAAAAGAAAAATTTCTAATTCTTTTGTGAAAAAACTTTAACACTGATAACTACATCTGATGAAGAGAGTAAAAAAATTTTACAGTGCAGTATCAGTATCATTGTGAAAACTACTAACAAAATCCACCACCACATTCTTATACAAATTGTAGCATACTTTTGGGTATTTTTTTATATTGTCGCATGTAATATACATCACTACACAAAATGTAGCATACCATTTTACACTGTTGCTTTTTAAACTTCACCATTCATCCTGGAAATCACTCCACATCAATTTGTAAAGATTGTCTTTATTCTCTCACAGCTGCATAGTACGCCCTTATATGTGGAAATATCAAGTTCGTTCAGCCACTTTCTTACATACGAGTACCTCAGTTGTTTTAAAAATGTTCAAATTACAAACACTGCTACGATGAGTAAGTTATGTGCGTGTATTATCATGTTGTTGGGGGTGAATCTTCAGAGTCAACTTCAAGAAAAGGGATTGCTGAGTCAGGTGTAAAGTGCTTATCTATGAGTGTAGAGAGAAATAAGCAAACAGAATCATAAAGCAAACGTGGTATGGTGTTAACATTTAGGAACGATGGGCAAAGCATGGATCGGCATTCTTTGCACTATTTTACATTTTTCTAAGTCTCAAGTTATTTCAAAATTAAAAGGAACTTCATTTTTTTTTTTAAAAAAAAACCATGGTATCAAGAGCTGGCATACTGTGCTAGTTAAAATTAAATGTTCAAGCTCTGAAATCAGATTTTGGTTCAAGTTCTCAGTAGGCTCCTTTGTAGCTGTGAGAACTTGCGTAGTGGCTTAAGGTCCTCCGGCTTCGATTTCCCCTTCTACAGAGCAGGTAGCTACAATTACATGCCTCAAGGAGTGGCTGGAGAACTGAGACAGAGGCAGCAAAGGACTCAGCTCAACGGCGCTCCATAAATGCCAGGTGCTATTTGCTTAATCTGTCTTCACGTGCACAAACCCCCTAGTATCCACTGAGACCACCCCCCAGTGCCTGTCTCTTGCACAAAGTCTCGTTCAAAACCCATTTAAAATAATTAACTAAATAATAAAATAACTCAGCAAGCTAGTGATTAATATGAAGACTGTGCAAAAACTACAGAAGCAGTTGTGTAGAAATATTAGGAGGGAAAGAATCCAGAATCGCCATGAGCTACAAAGATGTGCAGGCATCTAGACAAATAGCTAATATAAGGTGTTGGGTTTATGGGAGTTTTGCCTTTGAAAATGTGTATTACTGTTAAGGTCAAAAGGAGAATAGAGTAGAAAGAAAGGATTCTGAGCTTGAAAATAACCTGGTAAATGAATCAGAGTATTTCCTAAACTTATCAGTCCAGGGTATTATATTTGCCATAAGTAGCTAACAACTGTGGGGCACAAAGAAGAAAAAAAAATGTTACGTGAGAAAATGATTTCCTTATGCACATCTAAGTCTTTTAGATGTCAGCACCTGGCAACTTTACATTCCAGCTGTCAAAACTCTACGGAGGTAGGCCGTAACACTTCCCCAGTTCAAAATACTGTAATTGTCTCCTATTGCTTAGAATGAAGAAAATTTTCACAGCTCTATGTAATGTGGCACCTCCACCTACCTCCAGCCCCACAGGCCACCTCGGAACGTTTGCTCTTCTTCCGCCTAGAATGCTCTTGCCCCAGGTAGCTTGCTTCTTTATTTGATTCAAGTGTCTGCCTGAAAATTACTTCCTCAAAAAGAGGCACATTTGGAGGAGTTTCTCTAACACTGTCGTGTCCCCTTATCCTGCTTTACGTCTCTGCAAAGCGCTTATCACCCAACCACGTCGCTTACGTTTTACTTTTGTCCATTTGTTTCTCTCTGCTACTAGAATATAACTTCCATCAGGGGTAGGACTTAGTCTTTTGCTGCAAACGGAATACATTAGTTGAATGAATGAAAAATGTGAATGAATAAATGCCAGAACCAAAAAAATAAAAATTCCATCATCATCCTTGCCGCCCCCACAGCAGTGCAACCAGCTAGGCCAGCAGCCCTCGCTGGTGCATCTGAAAAACCTGCATGGACCCTTCAAATCTTAGATTCAGGGGACCGTCCTCTAGGAAGATACTGGTTCTCTTTTCCGTGACTAGAGCCAGAGGCAGGCAATAAAAGTCCAAGCACACAGGCTGAGTCGAGAGCTTCAAAGCTGAAGGTAATCCTTACAGTTAAAGGCTATATGGGACAAGCAAAGTCTATACAGCATTATCTAAAAAGCAGATAATTCTTACCCTTGCAGAACCTAGGTTAGGGATTATCTTACTTATTTTTCATTGATTACATGGATTGCCTCATTTAATCTTCCCAAGAACGCTGTGATACCAATGTTTGCACCTTACAGACAGAAAGCCTCATGCTTAGGGCACTTAAATAGTCACCCATCACGTCGCAGCTAGCAGAGCCAGGGTTTAAATTGCCCGCTTCTGACTCCTGAGTCTCCCTAAGTCTTGGGCATGCTGCCTTTTGCGGGGGCTGCAAATCAACCAAGAAGCAGTCACTACAAGCCTATTGTGAATATGCATGCTGGAATGGAAATACACTTAAATTCGCAGAAGAGGACTCAGTTTTTATCACCCTGCGACCTCACAACTAAAAGAGGATCTTTCCTCTTTTCCATGTATCTTCTCACATTCCTACCTGTCCTGCCCCTCCGAAATCCACCACGTTTATTTAGAAACACACAGCCTGGAATGCCCCTTGCCATAATAACAAAGACCCAAGACTGTCTTCCTTTTGGCTCCCAAAGGTCGCTAATCCGTAACTATTCACAACACACAATTCCTCCCTCTCCTACAGGGGAAAAAAAAAAAATCAATGTTGAAATTCATAATTTTTGTGAAGTTTGTGGTTTTTCTGAAGCCGGTCCCACTTTCCCCACCGCTCAGCACCTTTCAACCGTATCTCACCTTTTCCCACGTCTGCTTGCATTCTGCCACTCCTGCAAGAAGCACCTGCCGCGGGCAGCCCGCGTTCCTTCCCAAATTCAAGACAAAATACCCAGAATCCTTCTGGATTAAACCTAACTCATAATTAAGCCCCAAGTCCTGTTTTGCTAATTGTTTTTTGTTCGTATTATCAACCTCTAAGGTCAAGGACCCATCCTCCGACCACTGGCAAGTATGTATAACAAACTTACATATAAAGCAGTTCCCCAAAAATGGCTATGGAGTGACTAAACCAACCGGATTTTCCTGCATCTAGATTCGAAAGCAACATAACTAATCTCTGCATTAAAGACGGGGGTGGGGGGACTCATTCAAGGAACTCGGGTTTCTTCCCCCAAGACACAAGGCACAGGTCGCTTAGAAAACTGCCCGGCAGTGTTCACTGTTAGGACCTGCAGGAACCACTGCGCTGAGCTTCTCTTCTTTCAACTTTTCATTGACCACCTTTCAGTCGAGGGTTGGAGGTTCCCGAGCCGCCGGGGCGCGCGGAGGAGGGCAGCTCCCAGGGTGGAGGCCACGGGGTTCCGGTCCGCCACGCCCCGACCCGACCCTGCAAGGCCCCGCAGCCCAGGCCCGCGGCCCGCTCGCCCCGCGGCCACCCCGCCGCCTCTCGGCCGCCGCACTTCCGGTTACTCGCGGACATTCGGTCCGGGGTTCCCGGCGGCCGCAGGCTCCGCGGCCGTGGACCGAAGGGCCCACCCTCGGGCAAGGAGGGAAAGCAAACCTGGGGCCGACGAGAGCCAGGAGCAGCTCCCTCTGCGCTCCGGGGCGGGGAGCTGGGGCCGGACCCTCCGGGGCGCCTCCACGCCGACCAGGCCGGGTACGCCTAGCCTTTTCAGCCCGGCCGGAGGCGGTGGCGCAGCCCCGCCCCGCAAATCACGTGGTCACCCGCCCGCGGCGACAGCGCGCCCCGCCCACGCCTCTGCGCCAATGGGGCCGCGTCTAGGGAAGGGGCGGAGCCCGGGCGCACGCGCGCTGAGGCCCTAGGCGGCGGTGGACTGAGGCAGCGCCGAGCCGCGGCCGGGCCCAGGCTGTGGAGGGCCCGGATGTGGAAGCAGCTCGCGGTTTGCGTGGCAGTTTCCGAATTTTGCTCTCTCTTCAAGGCTGTGAGAAGGGCAGTGAGAAGGGGACTGGACCCAAAAATGGGACTGGAGTCGCACGTATGGATGCCGCCAACCCTGAGAAAAACACCTGAGGGACCCGGAAGAAATGGACGATCCCAAAATGCTAGATAGGACGAGGGTCTCAACATCCGGCCGTTCTTACTAAATGTTGTCCTTGCTAAATATTATAATGGACACCAGGATTTTGTGGACGCAACTCTAACCGGATGAGCTTGACCAACCAGCTGAGGGTAGCCGACTGCGAAGAAGAAATTAACGTGCAACTAACCAAACAGCGTCCAGGAGCCGAGACTGAGCCTCTCCTCTGGGAGAGGCAGCTGGGAGTGCACCCCGGGCCCCTTCACCTGCTGCCAGTCAATAAAGCCCCCTTGTGGCAGCCACGCCTCCTTCTGGGATACAGCACGCCGAGCCGCGCGCCCTCGGAGTGGGTATCGAACCGCAGATGGGGCTTCTCTGTGGCGTCGGTCGGTCCCGCAGGGCTCGCTCCGGGGTCCCGACCTGACAGGGCGGGACTCACCCTGAGCGTGCTCCGGGCGCCGGCCGCAGCTGGGCCGTACCGACCGGCGTCAGCGATGAAGTCAGGCGGCCACCACAACCTCTTTGTTTAGAACGTGCAAGAGGAGGTGTTTGTAATTGGTGCTTCTAGTCCCGTTTGGGGTACAGGGTTGTCAGAAGGATAATTTCATTTCTGGAGCGCACTTAGGTTCTGGGACTTTAGAGGGAGGAAAAGAAAAACAACAACAAAGCAAACCCTTTGTCAGGATGCCTACTGAGGGTATTTATGAAGAGGATTTTCAGGGGAATTGAAGGTAGAGAGACCTGAGACAGCCCAGAGTCCTGCCTGGTTTGGTATTTCTGGACCTCCTGTGACTGGCCTTCCTGTAGAATGAGGAGTCTTTGCGTTTGAAGACTCCCTGAGGGAACAAGAACAGAATTCAGTGATGCATGGCAGACCAGACCCACAAAGTTTATTTAGTTCAATCAAAACAGCAGATTTTAGAAGATAAATAAAAAACCCTTCAATTAGACTGTTACTGTAGGCTAGGCAGTGCTGAGTTATCTGAGAAGTTGGAAACACCTCTTAAGAAAAATGGGAAATCAACCTTCAATTCCTGATTTCAGTCCCTTGGGATGCATCCTGAAACGCTGGACACTAGCAAAGAAACAACAAATTTTCTTTTGCAATGTTACATGGCCCCAATGTGTTTTAGGGAACCCGGAGCACTGGCCAGAAAACAGCTCTTTTAATTATACTACAATATCACAACTGGAGCTATTTTGAAAAAAGGAAAAATGGGATGAAATCTCATACCTTCAAAATTTTGTGGTGTTATGTCAAAATCTCAGCCTACAAAAGAAATGTTAAAGAGGATCCAAGGATTAGAAATTGAGCTGCTAGCTTTGACATAGCCAGTGCTTGAGGGCCCCTGAGAAGACCTCAATTTCTTGCCTTCAGGAGCTCCCAAACAGAGAACCCTGCGTCCCTCCTGGGGAAGTCTGTTTCTTCTGAGTTCCCTTTGGCACCCCTCCCAGCTCTCAGCCTCCAGGCTCCTTTGGTCTCTTTAATCTGTGAGGGACGCCTTTGAGAACTTCCCCAGAACAGGGAGCCAATACTCCCATCCTGCACCCTCCTTGTCCGCTCACTGAGTCCACTACCTGTCAAGGTACCAGTCTTTACCCAGAGGCCGCATTGGGTTCTGAATGGGGAAGGAGAAATGGTTATTGTCTATGTTCTTGTCTTGACATCAAATCTGTATAATGGGAAGGGAAATACTGAGGGACTTCAGGTAGACCCGGAGGAGTTTTTAGCTTGATTAGTGCTATATTATCACCCATAATTCCACCTGGGGAGTATTTAATCCCTCCTTACTATCCAGCTCACTGCCAAAGATAAAAACCTTTGTATTGTTAAAAGCCAAAGAAGAGGCTGACAAAAACATGCTACTCAGCCTAATAATTAGATCTGTCAGACCCCAACGACTGAATAGACAGGGCTGCCTTGGTATTATGGGAGCTTCCTGCTGATGGTCATGAAGGCCATCGGTCATCCTACAAATTGGGGCAAAGTTAGAAACATTCCACAAGGGACCAATGAGAACCCTTCAGCCTTTTTAGAAAGAATGCTTAAGACAATACACAACAGTAGACCCTGAGTACACGGGGAGAGCCGATGTCCTGAACACCCACTTCATACCCCCAAGTGCTCCAGACATCTGTAGGAAGTTGCCAAAGATAATGGTGGGTCCTACCACTCCCACCTCCCAATTCCCAGAGGTGACCTTTAGGGTTTTTCACAGCAGGGATGTGTTGTGTAAAAGAAAGGAAGGGAGAAGAAGAGATGAAAAAGCAAGCCACTTTTCTGGCCATTTCCCTCCAGGCTTGGGGTAGTCTAGGGAGGAGAGGAGAAAGGCCACCTTGGCTGGGTTACCCTGGCCTCCACCTTGGGACCAACCAACAGCGTCCAGCCAATCTGGAGTCTAACCAATGTGCATATTGCAAAAGAGGAACACTGGAGGAGAGAGGGCCCCAGACACTCCGAGAAGGAAGGAAAGGGAAGCCCCTGAAGCTTTGTAGCTGCCCAGGTAGAAGATGAGGACTGATGGGGCGGGAGAAGTGCCCTTTTGCCTTCAAGAGATAACATTTCAATCTCCTATGAGGAGCCTCAGGTCACTCTTACTGTAGAAGGGAGGGAAATTAAATTTCTGTTAGACACTGCAGCCATGTACTCTGTTTTTACTACCTGGAGGGGCCCCCTCTCCGAGACAGAATGTCATATTAAAGGGATGTCGGGAAAACCAGACACAGAAATTCTTTGAGCCTCTGACATGTGAAATAGGATTAAAACAGCAGTCACACTCTGGCCTCTATGTACCTGAGTGTCCTTTCCCCCATCTTAGGAAGGTGCCTGATAAGTAAATTGGGGGCTGCCATATATTTACCTCAAAAAAAGTTGAAGTACTCATTCCAAAGGATAAAAAAATAGAGTTCATGGCCCTACTTCACCCAAATTTCAGGGTGCCTGTACCCACAGAGATTCTCGATCGGGTTGATCCAGCTGTTTGGGCACAAGAAAAAGTCGGAAGTTTAAAGTGTGCCCTACCCATTAAAATAGTACTACTCCCAGGAATTTTTGCGTTTGAATGGGAAGACTGACACCCATCTAAAGTCCCAGTATCGCTGAACTGTGTTACCACAAGGTTTTAAAAGCTCCCAAGCCCTCTTCTGCGACCTCCAACTTGAAAATGAAGCTGTTCTACAATTAGTAGGTGTCATTCTAATTGCCAGTCCTTGTGAAGAACTTCAGGCAGAAATACCAGCAGAAAAGGAATATAAAGTATCCGAGAAAAGGGCCCAGATATCCCAGCCAGGAGTTAAGTTCCTGGGTTTTCTTATTTCCCAAGGACAAAGAAGCCTACATCAGAGTAAGAGGCCATAACAACCAGTCCAGCTCCACCGCAGAACCGGAAGGAATTGAGAGGTTTTCTCGGGATGACAGGATTCATGATCTGAATCACTGATTTTGGTCTTACAGCCAAGCCCTGTACCATACACCGAAAGGAGACCAGAATAACTCTGCAGTGGGGTACAGAGTGCCAGAGCGGTTCTGAGAAACGAAAGAGAAAGGGACAGGTAGCTCCTGCCCGGGACTTACTTGGTTTGGAGAAGCCTTTTGAATTGAAGTGTCTGTGCTTGAGACTCAAGGAACTGCCCCAGGGGGTTAGTTCCTCTGCCGGGGCCTCTAAGCCAGGCAATTGCCTTTTTTTCTTAAAGCAACTTGATGTAGAGACACAAGGATGGCTGCCCTGCCTGAGGGCAGTGGCTACAACTTACAGGTTAATTATAAAAGCTGGAAAAGTTAACTATGGGACAGTCTCTAATTATAGGGGCCCCACATCAGGTAGTGAGGTCCTTGAAACCAAGGGAGACAATTGGCTAACAGGAGGAGAATGATTCAATACCTGGCCATGTTCTTGGACAATCCAAGCATCACTATAAAAGTTGTCACACCCTCAATCCTGCTGCTCTACTTCCAGCCTCCTTTGTGGCCCCAGGTCACAGCTGCTGAAATAATTGTATTCTAGTAAGAATAACTTTAGGAGTGAGCCATTAGCCAACTCAGAAGAAACATGGTTCACCAGTGGTTTTATAAGCAGGGGAGTCAGGAGGTCAGGGTATGCAGTGATATCCTTGTTCAACACCGTTGAAACAGGAGCCTTCCCTGGAACTTCTGCTCAAAAAACTGAATTCATAGCATTGGCCAGAGCCCTGGAATTAGGAGAAAACTAAATTGTAACTATATGTCTTTAAAACTAGAAAATAGAGCTTCCTGTGTACATCACTCTCAAGTAAGATCAGCTATACTACCCAGTGAGAACAAGGAACCAGATCCACAGTACTCTCATGAACCCCTGTCTGACCTCAGGTTGCTCTTCAAAGGATGTCTAATAAGTCTACTCTTACTTCTCATGTTTTTCTAATATGTTTTTTTTATGCACTCTTATTCTCAGGAATCCCAGAAGCTAGGGTATCCCACGACTTTGATAAGTCAGGCGGTTAGAGAATTTCACCCCTGTAGTTCAAAGACATACTCCAGCCATGTTCAGCAGGAAGCATTTACAGAAGGGTATGACCCTGTCCCCATTCCCTCAAGAATGAGGAGCGGAAACCCTTGGGGGTGGGGGCATGGGCGGGGACTGTTAGATAGGACAAGGGTCTAAAGAAGTGGACAT